GGTTCCGAGCCACCAGAAGGAACAGGACACCACACCCCTACATATAATTGTGTAAAGAAGAAATAGGAAATATGGGGCTTTTGAGGTGTCACTCTAGCCATGAAAAACACATATTACACAAATGTCTTGAGATAAATATATTATTTTATTATACAGATAGATAAAGAAATAAAGATAAAAACCATTGTTTAAGCTCATCAATATTGTATCCACAAAACAACCCCAAAGTTATTTAAAATTGATTTTAGGTATAACGCCTCCCTGGACCGCACAGCCACATACACAACATCCACAATTGAGGTAAACATTTTAACATCTATTTCATATAAATATATATAAAGATTCATCATGTAATTTCATTAACATATCCAGTCTTGTGTCCGTGCACTGTGGGTCCAGCCTTCTACACGTTTCGCTTAAAAAAAGCTTCCTCAGGAAGATAAGAGGCTGCCTGCAATATTTGAATACCATGGGTATAAATATGTCTATCTATAAGGATACAGGTTTTTACATCACATAATAGTAATCATTGAAAAATAAATAACCATTGAAATAAATAATTATAGATAACATTGTTAGGGGTGCCAGTGATGAATGAGTCCGCATCTCCAGGGGGACAGAACCCACCGCCCAGATGATGTGGGGAGTGAGGGACGTACAGGAGTACAGAAGTAAGGTTAAATCCCCATCCATGGATACTGCAAGTTTAACATATTATCAAACAGTATATATATAGCACGGGACAGTACCAAATAAATGAAACTGATATTCCACATATATTTTAGATACTCATTGGATAAACAGAAACAACTCCTCACATATGTTGTCACCTCCACCTATATGGAGGGGAGGAGGAGGAGGGGAATATTACCGTCATAGTTTGATAAACCCAAAAATCCATATTCATGGCATGGAAAAACATCTGATGCTAAATGGTAACCTTTATTTATCTGGGCTTACATTTAGTTGATCTAATATGGATTAAGGAGAACCAAGGACCACTTCTCCCGCCGATCCCTCCATGTCTCCACTCACTCCACCATCTACTCAGCCGCATCACATCACACTGCCTAAATACCCCGGCGTGTGACGTCAGCGGCCAGGGTGGGCCTATAGTCTGTGCACATTCGAAGAGGAGGTTTCCCGCCAAACGGCAGGTACCGCCCATTTCGGCTACCACCAGGGCGCCACCCAACTCACTCCCGCACGTAGTAGACTCTGGGGGAAGCCCCGCCGCAGGGCAGACAAGCACAGCAAGCCGAGAGGGACCACCGGCGAACTCTAGACTATTCGTGTAATATATGTTTTTCATGCCTAGAGTGACACCTTAAAAGCCCCATATTTCCTATTTCTTCTTTACACATATCCAACACATAACTATGACAACTAACTACTGCAAAGAAAGTTCCCAGGGTTTCTGGGCTTAAATAGTAGAAAGAAAAAGGTTAGTTTTGTTTGCAAGCTTTTATCATCAATTAACCATTCAAAATAAATAGTGTTGCCTGTAATGTCAGTTTCATATAAGCACAGTAAAAATTGTATATAACAGAGTGTTTTAAAGCTGAACTCCAGACAAGTATATAAACAAATTCTTGCCTGTTTCTTTAAAAAAATGAAATGCATTTTTATATCCAACTAGCACAAAGCTCTGTTATTCCTTGTACAGACTGAGAGGGATAGAAGCAGCACAAGGAGCTAATCAGGCTCTGCTGCATGAATATGTGTTGATAGGGAACATGTTGACAGGAGAAGACAGCAGAGTGAGCAGAGCTGATGATTTATCAGGGCATTACTGCTCCCTCATTGTCCTGCCTGCATTCTGCAGGTGTTATTATGACACCACTATATTTAACCGTGTCACAAAATGGTATTGCCACTTGTTTGCATTGTCAGGCCAGGTCGTATGAATCACAAAACTGGCTAGATAAAATTGCAAATCCTTTAACAGATAAGACCTTTTAATACATGTGTGTTTGAACTATGTTTTTAGTTGTTTGCCTGTAGTTCACCAATATACAGGTGAAACTCGAATAATTAGAATATCGTGCAAAGTTCATTTATTTCACTAATGCAACTTAAAAGGTGAAACTAATATATGAGATAGACTCATTACATGCAAAGCAAGATAGTTCAAGCCGTGATTTGTCATAATTGTGATGATTATGGCTTACAGCTCATGAAAACCCCAAGAACCCCAAATCCACAACCTCAAAAAAGTAGATTATTACATGCAATCAATAAAACAAGGATTGTACATAGAACAATATCGGACCTCTGAAAAGTGCAAGCATGCATATGTACTCAGTAATTGGTTTGGGCCCCTTTTGCAGCACTTACTGCAATTACTTTTGCACGATATTCTAATTATTCGACTTTCACCTGTAATCCATGTAAGACTCAGACTTGATGTGAGCTAGGAAGCTTTTCTAATTTGACTGCACATATCCCATACCTGCAGCAACAGCAGCTACTGCATGCCAATCCTCACAGGTTTCCTTTATATTGTAGTGGAACTAAAAAATCACTATTTTTAGCAGCTCCTACAGTCATTTTTTAATGCCAAAGCATGCTGTCATATCTATAAATCAGAGTTCAGCATTCCTATAATATTCATAGCTCATTATTACTTTATCACACCTTCAAACAAATGTATAGCACACTATTGAAACACCAATACTGTCAGGACTGTAGGGCATTCTGTGGTTATTACAGGATTTATTCACCTACTGTATGCAATTCTCTGGGGAAAATAAATCTCTCTATCGAGTATGAATATTGTATGGTGAAAGTACTTACATTGGTTCTTTGAGGAACATCCTGAAACTAAATAAATGCCTTGTTGTATTATTAAAACAGCCGAATCTGAACAGACAAATATTCTTTGCTCAGTTTGATTCAACAATTACTTACTATTGATGATCCTGCTACAAACCCAATTTTTCCAAACGAATGTTATTATTGTTTCAAAACATAGTAAAGTATGAGTAAAGATGGTGCGAGGAAAAGCAATAAAAAACATTCTAGATCACTAAAACATTGTGCTTTTGTGGATGATATTACCATCACCCAAGAATAAAGGTGGTCCAATACATGAAACAGAAAGATGTCTCTTTTTGGCTGCATTAGGATTTTCCAGGCATATATATATATATCTTGTCAATTGTGGAAGCTCTAACCGGGAAGGAGCATTTATTATCATCCTATGATATTTTAAAACAGAAACAAATGCTGTCAGTAAGGCTGAATTATTCTGATACCTTTATATATTATATTACCCTGTACAGTTGCAAGTATTTAAATCTCAACTGTGGTCATTTTTATATAGTCCCCAAACAGTGGTTGGGGGGAAAAAAACAGACCTGGCTGCAAAACTGACCTTCTCTATGGCTCAGTCCGCTATAGTATTGTTCTCATTCTATTAAATTGAATGACACTGAGTGTATAATTCAGGACATACTATGACATACTATGAGTGCAGGGGTGTCATGAACCCACCCTCTGAGAGATCATTACTACAGTGCCCTCACTCACAGTGAAATGATGCAGAGAGTGACACTCATGTCATCACATCAGCCTCAATCTCTGCATCTCTCATTGAGGACTGATCACTACTGAGAGAAAATCCGTAGAGGAAGTGGACATTGCATGTCACCTGATAGGCCTGAAGACATCTGAAAAGGATACGTACAAAAACAAAAGCGGAAATATCCATGGGGTGGGGGTGTTTAACTCCAGGGGGTGAATGGAGAACACTTTGCCTTGCTCTGCATGTCACATAATAGAAAAGTATATTTTCCAGTGTGCCTTAAACCTTTATTGAAACCAGTTTACTGCCATCACATCTTATTCATTTTTGTATACATTAATACTTGGCTGCATGATAATATTTTTCACTCTAGGCACTAACAATGGATTTTTACCTGAAATGATGTGTTTTGCTGTATTTATTACTGCTGTGATCTTATTGCCAATGTGTTTTTATCCCGCTAAGCGGCAGATGAGATGACAGTTGGCTTATCTAAACATTTTCAGCTGGACTGAGTGATACTGTCATTGGCAGCAAACACCCCCTAGCTGAGGGTTCTTGTGGGGCAAATTGACTGGACACGGTAGTAAACCTGTTCTGGTTGCAAGTTTTTGTTCTCACCTTCAACTACAAATTGATAGTGTGATTGGCAGATCTGACCTTGCACATTCATGAAGCACTTACCAATGCTTGGAAAAGTATTCTAACCATTTTCTATTTTCATAAGGCAGCTTAGGTTAGACAATTGTGTATTGTGTTCAAGATTTGTCATACATTTTTTTAAAAAGCAATGCTTCCAAGCTCCTATATGTATTATACTGTACAATCCATGACCACAGACACAATTGTAAATGCTTCATATTGTTTGAGATTGTGATGAGTCTATTTTTTTCCCTTCACATAGACCTTTTTGTAAGACTTGCGGTGACATTACAGAATAAGCAAGGCACAAACAGGCAGAAATCTGATTCTGGATATGTAGGGAGAAAATTATATATATATAAAATGCATTGCATATTACACACACAGTTACCAGAAGTAAATAAAATTGTTTGTTTTTTTTTAAATATTAACAGACAATCATAAAAGATTATTTAAATCCCTTTCTGAACTGAAGACATGACCAATGAAGAAAATTTTAACATGCCTTAGTTGACCACAATAGGCAGACAAAAATAGCTTTTTGCAGTTCCTGTGAAATACGAGGGTTAATCAAGGAAACATAATAAAATACAGCATCGTTCTATAACCCTTCTGTGTGCATCATTATTTCAAAGTATGCTATAAATAGATTGGGTAAATAAATAATTTTCCAATTGCATATGAGTAATGTCACAATAATGCTGCCTTTTTGCAATCTATTTGTATTAGTCACATTTCTTTTCTGAACAAACTGGGATAGTTGGGATAATTTTATTTTTGGAAGCAGTTTAAGATGGAATTGACTGAGTGCTTCTTTTTTCTTGTCTAACAGGTGCTCTTTGCTATGCTGAACTGGGAACATGCATAAAAAAATCTGGTGGTCATTATACTTATATACTGGAGGCATTTGGCCCCTTACCTGCATTTGTCAGAGTGTGGGTGGAATTACTAATCATTCGGTGAGTAATGTATCAGTGTTTTTGTTCAATTCCTTTATTCCGTTATTCTAGTATGGACATTAATGGCAGTTTGGCTGATTCGCAATACAATATACATACATTTGTCTGCCTGTTTAAAAACCTAACAACTTTTATCCATAATACCAAATTATTTAAACTCACTGTTGTTTTCCAAGTAATACAATAAAAAAAAATGTTTGGAGTATTAATAAAATTAATCATTAAAAACATGATAATTATGTTTTTACAAACCAATATTTTTTTTATAACTCAAGTGTATATAAACCCTAACTTCTCTTCTTTGTTTCCCATTGGTTTAACATACTATTGAAACTGTTTTGTTATATTTGTTCAATAAGTGCAAAAAATAGGAGGAGGAGGAGGAAGAGGAATAGGGAGGAATAGAACAACCCTATGTCTGCCCAGTTTCTAGCAAAGAATAAGATTTGGTTCGTAATGAGGACTTCCTGTAAGGTAATGATTACATCATCTCCCTCAGATGGTAGATTCTAGAATTTTAAAAAGTTGCTACAGGTCCAGTTCCTCACCCCCCATGTTTTCTGATAGATGATCAGAGATTTCTCTTCAGAACACGTCATGGCCTTACTTCATGTCCTATACTCACAAGAGTTAATTTTGACAGGCAAAAGCTTTGTAAACGTATATATTATTGAATTTTCATTCTGCAATACTTATATTCTGTGTTAATGTTCTCAGTTGCTTCTTCTAAGAAGCAGGCATCTGAGGCATTAATGGCAGTATGTCCTATAATTAACTATAGTCCTCAATCCCATCTTAAGAGGGTTGTAGGTGGATAATATTTGTGCATAAAACATTATAGCGTAAGAGAGTCAAAATATTAATCAAAGGCTGAGTTGCTACAAGCATGTTTAAAATAGGTAATGAATAAATAGAGTAATAGCCAGGATCTTGTATATTCTAGCTATAGCAGTAGCGGTGCACATATAATAGAAACATTTCTAGTTTGGTCACACAATATGCTCATCAAGGTAACACCTTTAGATAAATTCCTAAAAGACCTTAGCATTGTATACATACATGAGATATTTCCAGAGATGATAAGCCTGAAATGGGCCGGGGGCCAGGAGGGGGTGCATAAATTAAAGCAATGGTTGCAGAGGAACATGCTGTGGCCAAATATGCTACTAACAGTGCTGTCGTTTGATAGTGACAGGCCTTCAGAGGATTCAATTATATAGTAATATGGTCTTCTGAAAAACAGCAATGCCTTGATAATACAGAGGGAACAAAGGCAAATTCTGATAATACCTTGACTACAAACAAGCAAATGGTAGGTATTGTAAAGTAGCCACTGCTACAAGTTCTCTCTTGTGATAGAGTATAACTTCAGTACAAATTAGCTAACATAATATGAGATTGTAGTTCATCACAGGAGTTTGGAGTTGTGTCTACTTTACAACACATGCAGGGGCCATGGGAAGCCATGGAGAGGAAAAGTAGCCATCCTCCAGAAGGAAGGACAGTGTCAGCTCCAATTCAGAGATGATTTGTGGATCTACAGCGGAGCGTTACATAAGCTACAATTTTTTAAATAGTTAAGGTACTTAAATGCATTTTTAAGATTAACTCCAGAGTTTAGTGTCAATTTAACTTTAATATGATCTGCCAATTCTGTGAAAACAGTAAAAAAAAACAAAAAAAAAACAGGTAGACGCAGGCCAGATTTACTCTCTGCACTGCCCCAAGGCTAGGATCCTCAATGCACCTCCCCGCCAAGCCCCCCCCCAATGGAGCATGGCAACCAGCAATCATGGATTGCTGAGATCTGTAGTCTTCTATAGCCAGTTGCCATTCTCTATTGCTGTATAACATTAATTATACAGCAATGGAGAATGGCAAATAGCTATAGAGGACTGCAGATCACGTCAATCCATGATTACACAGCAATTATACAGGGATGCGTGTAGATTGCACCAGGGCTTCATTTGGGTCTCCCCAGGGATGCGTGCAGTTCTCAGCAGGGATGCGTGCAGGCCTCACCAGGGATGAATTTTGGGTCCCTGAGGGGTGGGCTTACGATGACTGTAATGAGGGGCGGGCTTACGATGACTGCAAATGGGCAGTGTGCGCGTGCGCACACCGGCCCGTTCGGCAGTTGTCGAACCAGCAGGCCACTAACTCGCCAAGAATCGTACGATTCCCGGCGGGTTTTCTAGCATGCTGGTTCGACAGAAGACGTGCGACCGTACAGTAGAAACGGTCGCACGCCTTCCATACACTGCACGATTCTTGTACGATTGCGGGATTTCCCGCGATTCTCGTACGAGAATCGTGCAGTGTATGGGCACCTTATGTATGCATGTGAGTTAGGGACCTAAGATTGAAAGCTCCTTGAGGGCAGGAACTGATGTGAATGTGCTACTATGTAAAGCACTGCAAAAATTGTTGGCACTTTACAAATACCTATATAATAATAAATCATATATATATATATATATATACACATCCTGGAACCGCTGGCTGTGTACATTCAAAGCCGGGTTCCCGCTCGTGCGCACCACCTAGCGGCGGGCATGAGCGGAACGGGATAGGACGTCTATAGACCCTCAAGAAGCCGCTGTCCGGCCATTTAATTACAGCGGCCGGACAGCAGGTAGTTAATCATCATACATAGAAGGATGCATTGCTAGAATTTTTTTTTTGACTGTAAAGGTCCACTTTAAGAATTGTTCTTGCATTTTTTATGCACTTTACTATGTTGCTGTAACAAGTAAAATGCAACCTTGGTGTGTTCTTTGACAGAACTCATTTAACCCATGTAGCGCATTGTTTTGTTTTTTTTCAAATGTGACCTAGGCTGCCTAGATTTTAGGTGTATCTAAAGTTGTCACTAGGTCTAGAGAACATTTATGACCATCTATTTAAACATATGATAATGTGAAGACCTGTGAGAATATATTTAAATTGGAACTATAGGCATGTGCAACAGCATGCTGTGTGCCAGCCAATGCTACATCTGGTAAGTGAAAACACCTTTCTGGCTGATGACAGCCCAGTTAGTAAGGCAGAAAGCAAAAGATTGCCGACTGGGAGGCAGGCTGAACAGGACCCAGCCCTAATCCATGGCTGGTCCCGGCTAGTCTGAGCACATGGCAGATCCCACCAATATCTGTACCCTATCCCAACATGCACCACTGGCTGAGAGAAGCCCAGTGATTGCCTGCTGTACTGTACCACTGTCCCACAATATGACAGAGTCACACTCCGCCCAGGGGGGTACAGGCAATGATAGACACCTGGGATTAACCAGATAATTGCCACTACAAATCCAGCCAGACTGTCTAAAGCCCTGGCTATCACTAAATGTCTAGTAGCCACATCACAAAAGGTGATGGGGTTACATTTGCATACTGGAATACTAGCACAGCAACCTATCTGTGGTCATTTTATGTTAGCAAAGGGGTCCAGCCTAAAGGAGCAATCCTCCAACACCCTGCCATATATTTGTTCTGCATGTCTGAACTGCCTTGTGCCAGAACTGCAAAAGAGCCTAAAAAGTGTTAATTTTGGGTACAAATGTATTGGCACACTGTATTCTTCCATTTATTCATCAATATAAAAAGCCATACTATCCAAAGAAAACTTTATCTTGTCTAGTGCCTTTAAATACTGCCACCCATCTAACCCTGCACAAACATACAGTATATTGTGAAGTAAGTACATCTGTCCTTCTTTTTTGTGTTTCCCCTCTCTTCCAAGCCCATAAAGTACTGGGTGATCCTACCAGTACAGTATGTTAAATGCTACTTCCTTTACAACTGCAACAGTGTTCAGACATTTCCTAAGAAATGATGGCAGCATTGTACCAGGCATGTCCCCAGTGAAGATTCCGTGTGGTGGGAGTGAATAAAACATTGTCTCACTGAAAGACAAGCTAGTAGCTTGTCTATCAGGGGTTGGCTATGCCTGGCACTGCCCGACTATTCACATTCATGCCCAACCCTGCCCCCCACCTTTTTACATCCTCCTCCTCCTGCACAAACCCTTTTGTTCTAATATGGAGCATTACAGAACAAGGATGACTTGGAAATGTACTTCCATAGGGCTTACATAGGTGGTGACCATAGACATGTGCACAGGGTGTGCCGGGTGTACCTGGGCACACCCTAATCACCCCGAGCACAACACCAAAACCATAACACAAAGATCTCTATGTGACTGGCTTATAAATACAGAGCAGAGCAGCACTAGCCACTTACATTACTCACAACTGCAAGGGAGCATGGCTGTGGCTTCTCATCCAATCAGGAAGCAGGGCGTGTGGTAGCATGATATATACACATGTGTGTTTATACTTTTGTGTGCACACCCTAATGCAATAGACTGTGCACAGCTATGGTGGTGACGTGTAGTGTAGGATTGCCCTCCTACAGAGCACATCTATGCAAAGTACAGTGGCCAGAGAAATTACTGTCACCACAACTTTCTGCAGCAAAAAACAGAAAATGCTGTATGGTGGAAAAAATATCAGTGTAGAATCTTGGCCAGAGGTATAGTTCTCATCAGTCACATCTATCGTTACATATGTTTTTTTGCCTACTGTGCAGGACGCCAGGAATGGGTCCTGGATGGACGATATATCCCTCCCTTGTTTAGGTGGTGGTCCCGTTAAGTTCACCTGGTATTCAGGTTTATTGCCAAGCAGGATGAGGGGTTCCAGGTCCGACTTGTAAGGGAAACTGCTGGGCAGTCTTCCCAGAGTGGTTAATGATACATGGGTCCCGGAATCTGGAGGCTCAGAGAGATTTTTGGGTGGGACAGAGCCTCCATCCCTGACTACAGCCAGTTCTGATAATGAAAGGGTTAACCCACCAGCCAGAGGGAGTGTTAAAAAGGAACAGGAAGCCAGTCAGTGGTGTCTGCAAGGAGTGTTTGGAGCAGGACACATGGCTGTGTGTGTGTGTTAAGCTGTGGAATGCCGCCTACCCAGAAACTGCTGGGGCACCTGTGTCCATAGT